CCAGCTGTACATACGATTCATTCACCCTGAACACACTGATGGAAATCCATACAGGCAATTATCACACTAATTAAATACGGAATGAATGTGATCTTATTTCAGCAGTGTATCATTGATGGAGAGTGGACTGATGCACAGTAAATCTTGTTTTCTATACAATGGCAGGCAAAGGGCATCTCTGCCTTACTTCCATCAACCCATCGGATTCTGACCTTCAAGCTTACACACTTCACATGCTTTTTGTTGGGGGTTATTCTTTCCTGGGACACTTTGATAAATGAGTTTTAGCACTGGGCAAATCACATGGACAAAGGAGTAACCCAAACCAACCAACAAATCTCCTCGATCTATAGGCTCCAGGGATGGAGAGAGGCGAAATCTGACCATTTATTATTTTATATATTGAGGCAGAATTACTAACGGATGAAATAGTTTAACAAATTTGTTCCACAGTTTCACCATTTTTGTAGTGTGACTCATTTATAACAAAATAACTTATTTGACAGTTTAGTTGTTTAGATTTTGTAAATCACCACTTTGTGGATATTAACATTTTTGAATACTGGCTTGGATCTTGTTTTGTTAAAGGGTCAGTCCATTTAAGATTGATATGCTAGTTATTGATGGATTCTGGAGTAGAGATAAAACCCCTGATGGTGTCCTCTATGTCTTAGGGACTCTGTTGGTGAGATCTTTGTGTTGAGTTCCCGGGTTTGAATATTTGCTGTGCCCATCATGAGGGAATCCCACCATACCGGTACCTGGCTCCCCGGTCTGTACACATGATGGACTTATTATGAGGGGGTTTCACCATCCCTGAACTAAATTCCCAGCTCCAAACACCTGTTGTGTGCACTATAAGAGGTTCCCACCAACCCCTGTATTGAGTTTCTTTATTTGCACACCTATTGTGCCCATCCTGAGGGGCACCTACCTTCTCCGTACTGAGTTCCTGGGTCTGAACAACCACTGTGCCCTTCATAAGGGGTTCCCACCACTGTGCTAGGTTCCAGGGTCTGCACACCTGCTGTACGCACTATGAGAGGTTCTCACCACCCCTGCATTGAGTTCCTAGGATTTCACACTCACTGTGTCCATTCTGGGAGGCTTCCACCCACCATCTCTGTGCTGAGTTCTTGGGTCTGCATGCCAACTATGCCCTTCTAGGGGTTATCACCATTTCTGTGCTACATTCCCAAGTCTGCACACTTGCTGGATGCTTTATGAGGGGTTCCTACCATCCCAGCTCCAAACACATGCTGTGCCCACCATCAGGGGTTGCCACCAATCCTGCATGGAGTACCTGAGTCAGCACACCTGTTGTGCCCATTATGAGGGGTTTCCACCATCCCAAGTCCAAACACATGCTGTGCCCACCATCAGGGGTTGCCACCAACCCTGCATGGAGTTCCTGAGTCAGCACACCTGTTGTGCCCATTATGAGGGGTTTCCACCATCCCAGGTCCAAACATATGCTGTGCCCACCATCATGGGTTGCCACCAACCCTGCATGGAGTTCCTGAATCAGCACACCTTTTGTGCCCATTATGAGGGGTTCCCACCATCCCAGGTCCAAACACATGCTGTGCCCACCACCAGGGGTTGCCACAAACCCTGCAAGGAGTACCTGAGTCAGCACACCTGTTTTGCCCATTATGAGGGGTTCCCATCATCCCAGGTCCAAACACATGCTGTGCCCACCATCAGGGGTTGCCACCAACCCTGCAAGGAGTTCCTGGGTCAGCACACCTGTTGTGCCCATTATGAGGGAATCCCACCACCCCTTCTGAATATTTTATATTATTAAGAATGTAATAAAAGGAGCTGAAATACATATATGGGATGGAACACCCCATGTGGAGGAAGGGGTAACACATAAAGGTGAACAGGGATGACAAAGACTAAGAGGTGTGAACAGAATTTTGACAGGGAGATCTCCCTGATTGACTGTTTAGGACATATAAGAAGATGGGGGTGACTCAGTTCACCAGATGCCACCTACAACTAAAATAGATCTTCTGGGTAGTGTGCCCTTAAAGAAATCTTCCAGTTGACTGTTTGTTTATATTTTTTGTAATTGCACAGGATTTGATCTGATCAGGTGACTCTGATTTTTGTTCAGCATTTGTTCAGCATTTACTCTTCATAATATAAGATTTCATGCCGGTTCACATACATGAGGATTGGATGCTGTTTGAACCGCTTCCAATCCGCATGACATTGCTTCCTATGGTAGTGATCACATATGTCCGGTGCACTGGCAGTGCAGATTCAGTGCGGTTTGCAAAAGAATCATGTATGATTTCTGAGCAGTGCCATCAGGTTCAGGTGCGGATTACAAGCCATTGACTTCTTTGGGAACCGTTTCTAAACCGCACATGTGTGATCCTGTCCTGAACCTGATGTAAACCTGACATGAACCGCTGAGCAAGTACTGTGTCAATCAGCTGTGAAACCTGAGCTTCAAACTGCACCGCAGATGTGTGAATCAGCTCTTAGCATTTTTGAAGTTGCTGTTCACTATAGAATCGTTCCTGGAATCCGTAAATTCTAGCACAAACCTGAAATGCTTACCATGGCTGCAGTGCAGAGACTGCTCCAAGATCTCACAGAGGACGGTCATATGATCACATGCCCAGGCATGACAACTCTCTGCACGTGGGTCAGTAGTTAGTATTTCAGGGTTTAGAGGTCAGTATTGAGCAATAAATAACACAGATTTTAAATGTCAGTAGTAATGCAAAGTGCAGGGGTCAAAAGTAAGTAATACATAGTTCAGGGATCAGGAGTATGTAACACACAGTGCAGGGGGTAGTTGTAAGTAAGGCCTGTTTCACGCAGTCTTCAGCTTGTATAGGAGCAGTGTGAACAGCAAACTTTGACAAAGCATTTGTAGCGCTTTCGGCTAGCTTTGCTGAAGCTTTTAAAATACCATTCAGCTCTAGTTTGTAAATGTTGAACACAGATCCTAATAACAGTGCTGATTGCCACTTTTAACAAGCTACTAGCAGGCTTCAGCACTTCCTGAAGCTTGGTGAAAGCCTGCAAGCAGCCTTATTAAAGTAGCAATCAGCACTCCCATTAGGATCTGTGTTCAACATTTACAAACTAGAGTTGAATGGTACCTTAAGAGCTTCAGCAACGCTAGCTGGAAGCTCTGTAAATGATTTGTCAAATGCTGTTCACACTGCTCTTATACAAGCTGAAGCCTGTGTGAAACAGGGCTAACACAAAATCCAAAGGTCAGTAGTATGTAACACACAGTGCACGGGTCAGCAGTATGCAATGCAGAGGTTAGCAGCAAGTAACACAAGGTGTAGGGATCAGTAGTAAGTAAAACAGAATTCAGAGGTCAGTAACACACAGTGCAGGGGTCAATAGTATGCAATGCAGAGGTTAGCCGCAAGTAACACAAGGTGTAAGGATCAGTAGTAAGTAAAACAGAGGTCAGTAGTAAGTAACACACAGTGCAGGGGTCAATAGTATGCAATGCAGAGGTTAGTAGCAAGTAACACAAGGTGTGAGGATCAGTAGTAAGTAAAACAAAGTTCAGAGGTCAGTAGTACACACACAGTGCAGGGGTCAATAGTATGCAATGCAGAGGTTAGTAGCAAGTAACACAAGGTGTGAGGATCAGTAGTAAGTAAAACAAAGTTCAGAGGTCAGTAGTGACACACAGTGCAGGGGTCAATAGTATGCAATGCAGAGGTTAGTAGCAAGTAACACAAGGTGTGAGGATCAGTAGTAAGTAAAACAAAGTTCAGAGGTCAGTAGTGACACACAGTGCAGGGGTCAATAGTATGCAATGCAGAGGTTAGTAGCAAGTAACACAAAGTGTAAGGGTCAGTAGTAAGTAAAACAGAGTTCAGAGGTCAGTAGTAGGTAACACATGGTACAAGGATAAGTAGCAGCTCAGAGATCAGTGGTACATAACACACAGTGCAGAGGCCAGAAGTAACCAACGCACATCTCCCCAAACAAGCAAATTTACCCTCTTCCAGAACAAATATCTCACCCCCCTTCCCCAAGCAAAAATCTCACACAATTGTAATTCTCACTCATAAGATCTCAGATGCAGAGGAGCCCATCGGAATGAGGGAAGTTTCCCCCCCAGCCCCAGGTATCCCCTCGGCTCTACATATGACACACCAGAGTCAGGGAGGAGCCTTAGACCTCCCTCAGCTTCTGCCTATTGCTCCTCTGATTTGATGGTAGAGGAACTGGCGGCATGGCAGAGATGTTTTCTACCTGTCACATGGCCATGATCAATGGGTGGATTAGAATTGTCCCCACTCTAAGTGCTCCTTCAGATAATGAGAAGCACGTCACCATATTCTCTGGGAATCACGGATACTTCATAAAGAAATAATACAGGTAAATATTACTTTACAAGGCTAATTACCCCACCTATAATAATCAGGCTTAGACCTCTGCCATCTGCTGGACGTTACATATTACTGCAACTCAGGTCACTACTGTGATCACCCAACCTCATTAGTGGACTTTAAAGCGAGGGTGAAGCTTCAGTCCTGTTCCTGATTAACAAGCTTTTGTCTATTTGCTCTTGCTTTATATAGCGGTTTATCGCTGACTTTTATTTGACTGCCATGACTTAGACTATGATTCTTTGCAATTCCTGGGCCCCCACCTGCCAAGGATCGAATGCCTGTTGCTTTGCATGATTGTTTTAAGTTTGAAGCAAGAAACCCGGGCAGACAAAGGTAAAACAAACTCCCTGTAGCTGGAGACAACAGAACCCAGGGTCCCAATGCTTCAAGGGGAGAATGCTGACAACACGGCTGTCATCTCACCTTCCACTCACACCAGTGACACATCCAGACAATTGCCTGCATTGATTTACTTTCACACAGGAAAAGGGAAAGCCGAAAGGAAAAAAAAAAGCCGTTTATTGGAGTACTGCTGGCAGTAAGAATCGCAGGACGATTGTTCTCATTCCACTCTTCACAGTTGATTGTCATTCCCATGTCAGGATAATACACTCACTTGTCTCCTGTCTCTTCGTCTCGGAGTTTCTTCACTTCCTGTCTGACTAGGTGACCACGGATGGCAGCTTGGATCACAGTGGCAGCCTGGTCCCGGACTGGCTCCCCGTCCTCCTAAACAGCAATCCCATGACAGACAATGAACATTTATACATCTGTAGCTGCCAAAATCTTACGTTTCTCTCAGTACAGGTTTATTTCAAGCTTTAAAAGGCTCCTCTTCTGTACTAAAGTCATTTAATTCTAAGAAGCTCAGAGTGTGCATTAGAAGCTAAGAGAGTCAGACAGAGCCCGCCTCATTTCTTGATTGGAGGACTTCTAACATCATCTAGTTCTTTCCTCCCCAGGCTGTCTATAGCCTGTCTCCTTCAGCTCTTTTAACCATGAAGGCCCAGAACAACATGTGGGCGTTACTTAGAAAATTTCAACAATTGGCTAGTTTATCTAATGGTGGCCGTACACACTTCGATTTGTGATGTGCAATTCATAGTCTATTTGCCTTTAGTAAATCAATCTCACAGGCTGGCATTTCTGCAGGATATTTTCTGGCATTTTCAAGGCATCACTCCTACTGCAGACATGTGTTTACACGAAACGCGTCTAGGAGGAGCCCTCGCACGCCTTGACGTCACACCGCCGGATCAGGAGGTCCGGCGGCCCACACTTGATTTGTACTGGTCAGTGCTTGTTTGGGTGCTTCTTATGATTGCTCACAGCAGTCTCTTGTAACCTTTTTAGCTGCTTTTGTACGTCAATGTTCTTATCTGATACAATAAATTTATTATTAATATTACTACACTATGAGCACCTTTATTCCCCATACCTGGCACTGAGCCTTCATACCTCAGCACCAGTATTTCAGGCACTGCTACAGACCTGAGGATTAAGCACCTTGTGATCTGACCTGCATCCGTATACTACTGAGGGATCACAAGAGGATCTTGGCACCAGGCTGTTTCCACCCAGGACCCCAGGATGCATGTGATCTAGAAATGCGCAATGATATTGTGCTTCTGGTGAGTAGGCACTCTATTCATACCTCTACAACAGAAGATTGGATCATACTCACAGAGATTGTTATTTTTTGGTGGACTACATAACTCTTACTAAGATAATATAAGTGGACTTATATCAGTCACATATTCTGTTATGATAAAGGTTTTATACTTGATTTAGCGCTGCACTCCCTGTTTTATGATTTTAGTAGAAAGGTCTTGTTGTTCCGTTTAGTGCATTGGTTGCTCTTTTGAATGCGCTCACTGACTTATATTTAGTGGCTACAAGAATGATTGTATAAACAAATGGTCTTTGAATTGCTGTGATGTGTATGGCCACAGACAGTCTATGCCAGTCTTTCTCAATCAGTGTTCCTCCAGAACAGGGGTGTCAAACTGGCGGCCCTCCAGCTGTTGCCAAACTACAAGTCCCATCATGCCTCTGCCTTTGGGAGTCATGCTTGTAACTGTCAGCCTTGCAGTGCCTCTTGGGACTTGTAGTTTGGCAACAGGTGGCTGGCCACCAGTTTGACACCCCTAGTCCAGAGGTTGCTGAGGGTTGACTGAGCAATGAGCAGTCCCTGTCTCTCAGGTTAATAACCACAAATTAAAATTATTATAAAATTTTTGACAACCAATGAAAATCTGGTGAGTGAATTACTGACCACCAATGTAAGGGGGCCCTTCCCATACTGATGACTACCTTCAGGGGGTCCTTCTCCATTTACTGCCAATCTTTCCCAATGGTCACCAATACTGTCCATCTTTTCTTCCCATGTAAGGTCCTCTATACATTATATAGCATGTATACTAAAATACTGCAGTTGTGCTCAACAGTTTGTATACCCTGCCAGAAATCATTAAATTGACATTGATATTAAAAATATGACTGATCGTGCCAAAAACTGTCTTTTATTTAAAAATAATGATCCTATGAAGCAATTTATTATCACATAGTTGTTTGGCTCCTTTTTAAATCATAATGATAACAGAAATCACCCAAATAGCCCGGATCAAAAGTTTCCATACCCCGGAATGTTTGGCCTTGGCACAGACACACAAGGTGACACACACACAGCTAAAAATGGCAATTAAAGGCTAATTTCCAGCATTTGTTGCTTTATAAATTGCAATTGGTGTATGTGTGTAAATAGTCAATGAGTTTGTTAGCTCCCACATGGATGGAGCAGGCTAGATACTGAGCCATGGGGATCAGAAAAGAGCTGTCAAACAACATGTGTAACAAGGTAATGGAACTTTATAAAGATGGAAAAGGATATAAAAAAGATATCCAAAAGACTTAAATATCCACTTACCACACAATCACGTACCTGATACGTCACTTTGCTTCAAGTGGTTATACCGGGATGACGCCTGCAGCTGAAGGCATCCATCACCCCGGTACCATTTTTTACAGCCGGCGGTTAGCTCTCTTGTAAAAGCAATCGGAGGGGCTAACTAGCTGCCTTCCGCCACTCTCTCAGAATCCCCCATCCCACTGGGAGACCCAAGTGACCAGCCAGCTCATCTGCCGGCTGGATGGACAGCCAAACAAAGCTGAGATTGGCTTTGAACGGCTCTCCATTATAGTAAACGTAAGCGACCTGACACCACTTCCGTCATACTATACAGCACCATTTTTATAAAATGAAAGCATTCAAAAACACCGATATTGGTGTTTTAAATGCTTTTAAGTGCATAGGAGGGATTTGGGGTCCATTAGACCCAAGATCCCTCCCAGGGGCGGACTGACCATTTAGAAACTAGGGCACTGCCCAAGGGCCCGTGGTCAGTAGGGGGCCCCATGAGATGCCTCTGGTACCTTTTTCATAGGCTTTTTTGAGTTTGGGCAAGGACACAGGGGCCCCATGATCCCCTAATGCCCGGGGGCCCCATGAGTTGTCAGTCCGCCCCTGATCCCTCCATAAAGAATACCTGTCATGTACCTATTGCTGTCACAAAGGATGCATGGGCATGCATAATTTTAAAGTGTGATATGTTTGGTATCTATTTCCTTGGTCTAACATCATCTTCTATATTTTATAAAAAAGTTGGGTTATATAGTGTATTTTTTTTCAAAAAATGGTGTGTAAAAAATGCTGCGCAGATACTGTGTGACATACAAAATTGCAAAACCCACCAATTTATTCTTTAGGGCATGGGTGTCAAACAAGGGCCCTCTTACATTGGTGGTCAGTATTTCACTCACCAGATTTTCATTGGTGGTCAAAAATGTTATAATAATTTTAATTTGTGGTTACTAACCTGAGAGACAGGGACTGCTCATTGCTCAATCAACCCTCAGCAACCTCTGGAGCAGGGGGTGTCAAACTGGTGGCCCGCCACCTGTTGCCAAACTACAAGTCCCATGAGGCATTGCAAGATTGACAGTTACAAGCATGACTCCCAAAAGCAGAGACATGATGGGACTTGTAGTTTTGCAACTGCCAGTTTGACACCCCTGCTCTAGGGCCTCTGCTTAAAATATATATAATATTTGGGGGTTCTAACGTATTTTCTAGCAACAAAACAAATTATTGTTACATATGAAACAAAAAGTGCCAGAAAAATCCTGGTCTTCAAGTGGATATGCCAGTCAGTACTGTGCAATCATTTATTAAGAAGTGGAGAGTTCTGGGATCTCTAGATACCAAGCCAAGGTCAGGTAGACCAAGAAGGATTGCAGCCATAACTACCAGAATTGTTCAAGATACAAAGAAAAACCCACATGTAACCTCGGGAAAAAATACAGGCTGCTCTGCAAAAAGACGGTGTATTTGTTTCATGGAGCGCACTATGTTGATACTTGAACAAAAATGAGCTGCATGGTTGAGTTGCCAGAAAGAAGCCTTTACTTTACCAATGCAACAAAAAAGCCCGGATGCAATAAGCCCAACAACACCTTGACATGCCTCACAGCTTCTGGCACACGCTAATCTGGAGTGACAAAACCAAAATAGACCTTTATAGTCAAAACCATAAGACCTATGATTGGAGAGGGGTCAAAAGAGACAAGAATACCATCCCCACTGTGAAGCATGGTGGTGGCTCACTGAAGTTGGGGGGGGGGTGAACTCTAGAGGCACTGGGAATCTTGTGGAAATTTATGGCAAGATGCATGCAGCATCATCATCAGAAAATACTGGCAGACAATTTGCATGGGACGCTCTTGGACTTTCCAGCATGACAATGACCACAAGGGCCAAGCTGACTCTCCAGTGCTTACAGCAGAAAAAGATGAAGGTTCTGGAGTGGCCATCGTAGTCTCCTGCCCTTAATATCATCAAACCATTCTGGGGAGATCTCAAATGTGCGGTTCATGCAAGACGACCAAAGACTGCATGACCTGAAGGCATTTTGCTATGACGACAGGCCAGCTATACCACCTGCAAGAATTCGGAGACTCATAGACAACTATTACAAAAGACCGCACACTGTCAGTGATGCTAAAGGGGGCATACACAGTATTAAGAACTAAGGGTATGCAGACTTTTGAACAGGGGGCATTTCATTTGTTTAATTGTTGCCATGTTTTGTTTTATGATTGTGCCATTTTATTATGAACAACATTTGAATATGAATCCCATAATAAATAATAGAAATGTGTTTTGCCTGCTCACTCACGTTTTTTTTTTTTAAATGGTGCATGCTATTACCAACACTCCAAGGGTATGCAAACCTTTGAGCACACAAATATATATATATATATATATATATATATATATATATAAAAGGGGCATTCTTCCCACAGACGACCCATGTGAAGGCAGCTCTACAGTTTTTTACCGTCTGCTATTCCTTTTATATCCATATAGAGCGGAGGAGGGGGTGTTAAAAATGAGATGGGTGTTAAAAATGCTAAAGTATGCCACATTCTTTATTCTTTCATTTCCAATTTTATCTACCTATATCTGTCCATATCTAAACTGAATACACTAATGAACCTTGAATTGTAGATTCAAAAATTAGTAAAACTGAACTTGTAGTTATAAATGGGTATGTCTACAGGAGCATTAAAAATTCACTACAAATGCTTTGAAAACACATTTCTCCTCCATGCTTTCCTAAGTATTATTGCGGGTTTTTGCGTAGCGAGATGCAGGGGGTGATTTACTAAAACTGGTGCACTCAGAATCTGGAGCATAGTAACCAATCAGCTTCCAGATTTTATTGTCAAAGCTTAATTGGCCAAGCTAAAGTTAGAAGCTGATTGGCTACCATGCACAGCTGTACTAGATTCTGTGTGCCGCAGTTTTAGTAAATCTCTCCCACATTTTTTAATGCATATCACCATCCTCTGGTTGGGACCTTTAGCTTAAAATGCACCAAAATGATTTGGAGGTGCTTTGTGCATTCTGAAGGGAAGCAGGTTTTCTGGGTCTCCATCCTTCAGTACTGCACTGCGCATTTTTTTAGACATGGCGCGGCACTGCCACTTTCATGTATGCTGTCACGTAACATAATTGGGGTTGTGCTCTGTGGTTATTGGGCATTTCAGGGCTAGAATAAAGTGCGTAAAATTGATCCTATTGGCTGCCAGTGGTCACAAGACCTCATGGTGAAGCTTCAGTAAAATTCCTAGGATACTCATGGCACTTAGTCACACTCCAGCTGTCATTTTTGTACAAGAGCTAAAAATTGTGTGCCATCACCTGATTGGTTGTCCAGGTTAACACACTTTGCTTTTTGCTGGTTTATACAGCTGATGCTTGATGTAGATGATGTAAAGTCTTTTATAGCAAGAGTCCCTAAAAGGCCTACAGATCCTGGCATCTATTTCATTTCTACACGAAGTAGGGCACAGCGAAAGGGACATCATCTATATTTACTCATCCTAATTATTTTAATTGTCCTTGCAGCTTAATTGGTGATCTTCCAGGGCACATACTGTACACTGACATGGTAACCGCAAAATCTACACTTTTAATAGCAATCAAATGTTGTCTTAGTTCTAGTTCTTTCATCTGCTGCAAGTTGGCACTCACTCTTACAACACACCTCCTTGCTGTATAGCGGCAGGAGAAATTTGGAAATCCTGTGAGAATGCACTTCATCCCAATACAGGAATGGTCAGAAGCTGGGACCATGGTAGGTATTTTTTTTGGTGAACGGTTTTATTACAGGCGGCATTTTAACTCCAGCCCTGCAGCAGGATTATAACGCCAAAGGTGTTTTCTGGGCTTCCTGACCATATGATCATTGTGAATGGTTGTCCTACTGGTCCATCCTACTGTCTTCCGATCTTTGCTTTGTGACTGGGAGCTGTCAATGAGAGTGCTGTCACAATGCTGAAGCCTCACATACAGTATGTAAGGTAGCATAGAATAAGGACCAACTTATATAATTTGCATAGGGGACAGAAGGCTGACAATAAAACAAACCTTTCATTTGCCATGGAAGGTTCACTTTAATAGAAAGTGCATAAATGTCTTAAAAATTGGGTCTCCCTGTGTAGTTTACAAAAACATAATAGGGGCAGCCATATTTGCTCAATACATATGCAGGCTCTGCTTCCTACATGTCAGAAAGGTATTAACTGTACTGTTAGACATGCAGAAAACCAGTACAGATAAAATCACTAATTCATTATATGAAGCACAATTATGAAAATGGAACAACACATTTTTAGTACTCTCAAGGAATGCTGGGTCCAGTAGTCCCAGAAAAAAAAATGCAAGAAGCCACAGGTCACGTAAATGAGACTTGTCAAAAAAATAAATGTAATATGCAGATCCTGAGCGTATGAAATCTTGTTTGGTTATTTTAGCTGAAATCATACATATTTTATAGTGAGCTGTTCAGCACTTATCATTAAACTGCAATGAGATTAGAGAAGGCTGACTGGTTAGAAGATTCATAAAATCCATTAAGATAAGTGAGAGTTCACACTCATTGAGACTTGCCATGGAGCACGGCGTGACTACATGGAGTGTAAGAAGGCTTAATTCTACAGCTCAGGATCCCAGGGGCTAATTTAGAAGATTAGGAAGGCCCCCGGGGCGAATATCACATCGCTGGCTGCCTTAATATCTTACTGAATACAAGTTAGACTTTTGGCTTAAAGTAAATCTGTCACTTTTCCCATTCAGAATAAAATGACAGGTTCTCTTGATATCCCAACTTCCCCCCCTTCCGCTGATAAATAGGCTTCAGTTACACTAGCACTCGCTGTAATCGGATCCTTGTCACAAATAATTCTATTTTTTAATAAATTCTGCTAAACAGAACACACCCAAATGCAAGTAAATGCTGAGCATGAATGGAGCCATTAAAAATGTCCTGAGACTCCTGTGCCTCCAGCGACACTGGTGACTCCCCTTTGACTGTTGTGTCTCCAGTAACCCCTGTGTCTTCAGTGACCCATGTTTCTCCAGTAACTCCTGTGTCTTCTGACCCATGTTTCTCCATGTGACTCCTGTGTCTTCAGTGACCCATGTTTCTCCAGTGACTCCTGTGTCTTCAGTGACCCATGTTTCTCCAGTGACTCCTGTGTCTTCCAGTGACCCATGTTTCTCCAGTGACTCCTGTGTCTTCAGTGACCCATGTTTTTCTCCAGTGACTCCTGTGTCTTCAGTGACCCATGTTTCTCCAGTAACAGTGACCCCTGTGTCTTCAGTGACCCATGTTTCCCAGTGACCCCTGTGTCTTCAGTGACCCATGTTTCTCCAGTGACTCCTGTGTCTTCAGTGACCCATGTTTCTCCAGTGACTCCTGTGTCTTCAGTGACCCATGTTTCTCCAGTGACCCCTGTGTCTTCAGTGACCCATGTTTCTCCAGTGACCCCTGTGTCTTCAGTGACCCATGTTTCTCCAGTGACTCCTGTGTCTTCAGTGACCCATGTTTCTCCAGTGACTCCTGTGTCTTCAGTGACCCATGTTTCTCCAGTGACTCCTGTGTCTTCAGTGACCCATGTTTCTCCAGTGACTCCTGTGCCTCCAATGACCCCATGTGACTCCTGTGATTCCAGTGACTCCTGTGTCTCCTGTGACTCCTGTGTTTCCCTTGAACCATGTTTCTCCAGCAACTCCTGAGACTCCTGTGTGCTTCTGTGTCTCCAGCAACCTCTGGGTGAGAATTTCCATAGAAACACTCCAAGTAAAAGCCCTTGACAGAAGAGTGGAGGCTGTTGTAGCCACAAAAATAGGGGCCAGCTCCAAATTATTGGCCAAGGCTCTGAAATGGAATGGAATGGGGGAATTGGATGTGAGCTGGGAGGTAGATTGGTGCAGCGGCACGGGAGCAATTACAGGAACTGATTCCCTGGGTCGCTCTCTTTGCAGCAGCTGAAAGACAGCTTTTTCCCTCCTCTCCCTCCAGCTGACCTTCAGCTGCTGCAGAGAGCCACACAGGGAGATCTGTTCTTTTAATTATATCCCCCCCACTGCGCTGATCACCCTCCCTGTGCCCCATCCTCTTCCCCTTGCTGCCTGGGTCACTGTGTGCCCTAGTGCATGAGCCCCAAGGCCTCATTCACACATATTAATTAACTCATGCAGTTTTATCTTTTAGATTTAACAGTAATTTTGTAAGTTATGTTGTGTTTGTTAAAAATTATTTCAGTGCATCTTTAGCAAAAATATTGTTTTGATATTTGGGGGGGGGGAGCTGTCAGGTAGGCTGTAGGGGCTCTGTGATCTCTTACAGCAACCCTGTACATAACCCAACAATTTCACCATCCATACGACCAGCAGGGATGCATGAGGTGTCTTATGGCCCTCGTTTTCACAAAAGGTAGCTCCATCAGGCATTAGACATACCTCCTCCTGCAGGAGGGAGAGGGGAAGCTGACATTCAGCGACTGCAGTAGGAACATGGAGATATCGGTTCCTCTGTATGCAGCCATACCCACCACTCCCCCTTTTCAGGTGTACAGGGGGACTGGGTCCCAATTTCAACCCCTGAGACCCCTGTAGGTATGCCCCTGGTGTGGAGCAATGCTGATGGCAGCATGAATATTGATGCAGCCCCATCCTATCCCAGAGAGAGAGGCTCTGATGGCATGCTGGATAACTATATACACTATATTCTGTGAGCACACTGGGTTCTGGGTCTTTCCTCTATTAGACTGTGGCAACTACTGCTTTGTGGCCTCAGGTGGGTGACCTAAAGGCCTGAATGCTGAGACCCAGGTTCTACTAAAGCTGACTGAGGGGCTGTCTACTGAAGATCGGTCTGATATCATGGAGGAAGGTGTCAATCTATTCTTAGGCCTTGGGAGTACAGACACCCTGAAAGTATCTTAGAGACTGTATGCTGCTTAACCCCCTCTGGTGCTAGGAAGTCAGCTGTGGGTCTGGGCTAAAGGGGACACTGGTTTGTGTTCCGAAGAGCTTTGTCCATTTAACATCTTGCTACAAAGGACTCTGCTTTTACTACTTTTTTTACTGCTGCCTTAAAGCTGAAGTTTACTGTTAGTTCAAGCACAGACTTCTTCATAGCTTATCCAAGAAATTACTTATCCCCTTGGTGCCAGCACTTCCTGGCCCTTTAAGGGGTTTTTGACACCAGGAGGCGGGACGAGGTTTAGGGTCATGTGACCGCCGTGATTGGCTGTCACCGTGGTCACATGAACGGAAAGCTCCCGAGCGCAAGTAGTGATTGAACCTTTTCATGAAGTACCAAGAAATGTGCCGGGAGCGCGCTGGTAGTGCTCCGGGCATGTGTTTTTGTTTACATTGGATACGCAGATATGCGGCCCCTCAGCTGCCAAGAGGCTGCATATTTGCATATGCTCGTGCCAAGAAGCTAAAAGTCCTCAAATGTACATAGTTCCTTTTCCTGGAGTATCCCATCTAATTCACCATCCCTATCCAAGTTCTCCAAAAATAAAAACAAGAACAAAACCCCCAGACTGGTTACTGGAGAAACGTGTGAATGAGCCTATGTGCCTGACTGCGGGGCAAAGTACTTGGGGAAGATCTAGACAATATTCCTACGGCTCCTAAGAGAGTAGTACTACATTTATCTACAATGAGGCTCCCCCCCACCTTCTCATAAACCCCTAAAATCAGATTATTGTTTCCAATCCATAAAACCAGATAAACTGAAACTCATAAATAAATAAATCAATCTAAGAAATATATATGGTGACAGTCTGTGATAGGTGATGATTTCAGGAGATATAGGTGACTTTGCGTTCCATGTGGCAAGGTGATAGAATAGTTAAAATACGCACTCACCAGATGCGTATCAAATATACGCTTATAATCAAATATCCAGGGATCCCCCTCGTGGGATGGGATGAATGAGCTGAACCACTTGTAACGGACTCTCCTCACCATATATATTTCTTAGATTGACTTATTTATTTATGAGTATCAGTTCATCTGGTTTTATGGATTGGAAACAATAATCTGATTTTAGTGCTGCACTTTTAGTTTTAAGTATTTAACAAGGTTTTATTCTGGTTGCCTTTTCGTGCTTTTAGCTGCTATAATACCACTAAGCGCTCACTTATTATTTGAGAATTTGTCTCATAAACCCCACCTTTTTTCCGTTGTGCCAATGAAGGTGCAAGAGGCTTTCCTGCAGACAATATACATACTGAATGGCAGATGAAGAAACTGGTACACCAACTGCCTTTCAGTCATTTGATACATCTTCCACTATTGCCCTCTACCCTTGAATATGAACAGAGACGGTAGTAGCCTTCTCCTCTTATGAAGTTTATGTGGACATACCTTGTGTACTACTTCCTCAGATAGCTGGGTGGATGATGAGACATCTTGTAGCTGTATCTTATGTTCCGCCTCCTCTGATGTGACATCTTGTTGTTCTATCCTGTGTTCCTCCTCCTTTGATGAGTCATCTTGCGTATGAACATGGTGTTCCTCCTCTGATAGGACATCTTGAGGCTGTGTCTCATGTTCCTCTTCTGGTGGTACCTCTTGAGCCTGAAATTTGTGTTCCTCCTCTGATGGGACGTTGTGTTGCTCTGTCTTGTGTTCCTTCTCTGATGTGACATTGTGTTGCTCTATCTTGTGCTCTTCCTCTGATGGGATACCTTGTTGCTCTATTTTGGGTTCTTCCTCTGATGGTACACCTTGTTGCTCTATTTTGGGTTCTTCCTCTGATGGTACACCTTGTTGCTCTATTTTGGGTTCTTCCTCTGATGGTACATGTTGCTCTATCTTGGGTTCCTCCTCTGATGGGACACCTTGTTGCTCTATCTTGGGTTCCTCCTCTGATGGGACATCCTGTTGTCTTATCTTGGGTTCTTCCTCTGATGGGACCTCTTGAGGCTGTGCCTTGTGTTCCTCCTCCAATGGGACATCTAGTGGCTGAGGAAATTCCATAGAGCCATCCACCATATTTGCACTTTTTTTAAAACTGTTTACACCTTCAGAGCGTGGAGTGAATATATCCTCTTCTGCATGCTGGAATCAAGACAGAAACCATTACTTTATCTTTTATAGATTTAGTGCCCAAGTAGAGACAAAAAATACATTTTATGCATAGAACATGGAAGGGTTGGACCCTCTATCAGGTTTAAATTGCAGTGTCTCCACTGGGACAAATTTCCCTCCATTCTTGTCCTGTGACCACACACAAAGTGAGGGGGGATCTCCTCAATAGGGACACGGACCATGATTTAAAAAAAAAAAAAAAACCTGAAAGAGGTTGTAATTGTAACCCTTACTTTGACTGGTACAGAAAATACATTTCAGTGTTTTCAGCAAGATATTTCAGCAAAATACTCAACTTTGCTGTTTAGACAGACTTCAGAACAGTATGACACCATGCCAGGCCTCTCAATGCTCTTTCGTATATATCTGTGTTCTGGTGTCATGCAGCCTGAGACACTCCACATTCAAGGGAAAGTGAAGGTATTCTGACTGCATCACTGCATAGTGGCCAAATGTTAGTCAGAACATCGGTGTTAAGGAAGAATACATTACGAGGTATAAAAAAGCAATGTAATTATTTTAAAATTGTTAACAGTGAATATATTTATGGGTTACCATGTTTTTACATTGGTCCAGTGTAGTATGTCTAATCCCATACACTAAAATCTCACATAAACTTGTCATTTTCAATATTTGTACAATTTTCAACTCCAATTAAAATAATCCCTGGTGATCCTGCCATGAAGGTCCTTATTCAAGCTCTTCATGTTACAGGATGACATTGCTCTGTTGCTGTCTTCTTATTGTGATCCTGCATTGTCACCCTGTCTCCTGGGCTTCTAATAGAGACAACAATTGGACATTTCAGAGCATATTACACAGGCATGGTCCACTGTTGTCATCATCAGGAAACCCACCCTGAAAAATGCTGTGCGGCTAATACTGGAATGCATGCAGACAGGAAGTGCCTACAAAGAGGCTGAAGGAAATCAGCCACGCTGAGATGCCACAAAGGACGACAAAAAGTAAAAACAAGTATTTTATTTTTAAAAAAATGCAGTTGTTTGTGATACACAGGGCTTTATCAAACAAAATGTAATTCAATTAAGGTTTATATGTAGGTAAAAATGGAACTGTATCTAAAAAAAATGTGACTCAAGCTAAATTGACAGGTTCCACTCAAGGCTCCAACGTGTCCTCTTATATAGCAACCACTTGGTGTGCAGACAAGGGCAGAGCTCAACCCAGCTCTAGACATCTAATGGAAAAGGGAAAGGTCCTGGAAGTTGCACATCTATGCAAAGCCTTGTAAGAAGGTGTATGACAGCCTCAGCCTTGGCTTTTGGTTGGCCTGGCTGAAGCCTGGCCTGAGGCTGTCATACACCTTCTTAAAGGGTTTTGCAAAGATGCGCGACTTCCAGGACTTTTCCATCTAAAAAAATGTTTTAGTTTTGGGTGAGTTGGAATAAGATGTGATACCTTGTCTTTGCCAGTGTAACACCACAGGGTGGTCCTCCTAAACCAAATATGACCAGAAGGGTTTTGCTGTAAAGTGAACTTTCTCTTTGCCTACAGACATCATATTGGGTGTGTTCTCCATATATTACAATAAAGAATGCAGTAGGGCTCCAGTGACACCAGCATTGTGGAAGAACCAAGAAACTCCACTCACAACAGGCTCTGGCTGCCATAGTACATCTCAGGGAATGGAGGGAGATGACCCCACCGGTGTCACAGACAACAGAGGGGATGGTGCATGGGACTGAACCTTCTTTGAGCGTTCCAAAATTAAAACATTTTAGATAAGGCTTATTCATATACTTTCACATGCCAACAAAAATGAAGCCTTCAGCTTATCTTTAAAACTTGGATTTCATATACAGTCAGTTAGATTGGCGGGTTGCCTATGAGCAGATGTTCTCACTCGAGTCTTCCTCCTTACCCCCGGAACAGTAAGAGTTAGTAATTATTTCTGGAATCATTGTGATGTCTTTAGAGAAATCTTTCTCCTCGTTTTCTTGTCATATTGCAGTTGCAGCGTTGGATATAAAGTGTCTCCCTGCTGTGATTGAGGGTGGGAGGAAGGCTGCTCACAGGCTGACATATGTCAGAGTTCTGCTTGGGCTCCGAACACAACAAATACTCAACGTGTTCATAAATTTTCATTCCATCAGGAAACGCAAAGCGCCATTCCTCTTTGCTTGACGAGTCACCCCCTCGTCTATACAAAGTCTTTTATTTTTCATGATTTAACTATATTTATTGCAATGTAATGGGGACTTGGCTGAGCTAGAACATAAAGGGTACCTGTCACTAACAATAAATTATTTTGTATTGGAGGGTAATATTCTGCATCTCAGAAACATGTGACTGTGTGCCTTCTACTTCTATAGATCTAGCAGTTTTTTCTCAGATTGTTCCCAATGAATACTAGACATGTGCAATTCATTTTGTTATGAATCGAAATTCGGACATTTTCGTTATTCTGAGATTTGGATGTATCCAATATGTATCCAGCTTTAGGGGGGATGATATTTCCGAATTACAATGGTAACAAAGTCCAATGAATCCAAAATAAATTATAACAAAAAGAATATCCAAATTCGAAAATAAATTTGAATTTCGAAATGGAAACATATTTCAATAAAAATAAGGTATAAAATGAAAGAAGATGATGATTTCTACTTAGGCTGCTCAATAGAATAGAACAGAATAGAAAATAAAAGAACAGAATAGAATAAAACATAATAGAATATAAAGGAATAGAATAGAATTAGGGTCCATGCACACTGGCTTAAAAAAACACCAGTGCTCTTGGCAAAAAAAAAAGCTTATTTTGGGCATTTTTTGGTACTAGCGTTTAGGAGCATTTAGCAGCATTTAGCAATATTTAGGAGTGTTCTGCCAGAAAAACGCCAGAAAAAAGCTCCCATAAACACAAAACAGTTTTTTCTGCCTCTAAACGCTGAGCTTCAGTTATGCCTCTAAACGACCTAATGTGCTTGGACACATAGGATAATATTAGTTGCTTCTACAGGCAAAACGCTAAACTCCTCTAGCAGTGTTTTCAGTGTGCATGGGCACTAAAATAGAATAAAAAAGTAATAGAATAGAATACATGTATTTAAAGAGTGGAAGAACATGATCACCACCATACCCACCACCATCATACTCCATACCTAGTGTCCTGATCACCGCCATACCCCATACCATCACCCTGATTATCCATACTAGCATTCTGATCACTGCTATACCCCTTACCAGCATCCTGATCACTGTCATACTCCATATCAGCGTACTGATCACTGCCATATGTCATACCAGCGTCTGACATTTTAGGGTCTCAACTGATCAATTTCAAATATATATCCCATAGTTTGTAGACTCTTTAGCTTTCACACAGACTAAACAATATACACTGTTTTGGGTTATTTTTACCCCAAAAATGTAGCAGAATACATTTTGTCCTAAATTTATGAAGAAAAATTATTTATTTGCCAAATGTTATAACAAAAACTAAGCAAAAATTATTTGGTTTTCTACATTTTCATTATTTTTTCATTTATACAGCAAATAAACACAAAAAAACTGGTCATCAAATACTACCAAAACAAAACTCAATCTGTCTCAAAAAAGGATAAGTATTTGTCACTCAAAGCGTGATAGTGCTGAAAGCTGAAAATTGGCCTGGGGGTGAATGCCCCGGAAGCTAGAAATGACTGAAATAGACAAACAAAAACTAATATCCCAAACCAATGCCCTGATCACCACCATACCCCATAAAAGCACCCTGATCACCTCCATACACCATACCAGCATCCTGATCACAGCCATACCCCATTCCAGCATCCTGATCACCTCCATACACCATACCAGCACCCTGATCACCACCATGCCCCAATGCCAGCATCCTGATCACAGCCATACCCCATTCCAGCATCCTGATCACCTACATGCACCATACCAGCACCCTGATCACAGCCATGCCCCAATTACCAGCATCCTGATCACCTCATACCCCATCCAGCATCCTGATCACCGCCATAATCCATACCAGAGTCCTGATCACCACCATATGCCCCATACCAGCGTCCTGATTACTGCCATACCCCATCGCCCCGATCACCACCATGCACCATACCAGCAGTCCTGATCACCGCCATACCCCAAACCAGGTCTGATTACTGCCATACCCCATACCATCGCCCCGATCACCACCATACTCCATACCAGAGTCCTGATCACCGCCATACTCCAAACCAGTGGTCTGATTACTGCCATACCCCATACCATCGCCCCGATCACCACCATACTCCATACCAGAGTCCTGATCACCGCCATATCCAAACCAGTGTCCTGATTACTGCCATACCCCATACCATCGCCCCGATCACCACCATACTCCATATCAGAGTCCTGATCACCGCGATATGCCATACCAGTGTCCTGATTACTGCCATACCCCATACCATCGCCCCGATCACCACCATACTCCATACCAGAGTCCTGATCACCGCCATATGCCATACCAGTGTCCTGATTACTGCCATACCCCATACCATCGCCCCGATCACCACCATACTCCATACCAGAGTCCTGATCGCCGCCATATGCCATACCAGCGTCCTGATTACTGCCGTACCCCATACCATCGCCCCGATCACCACCATAGTCCATACCAGAGTCCTAATCACCGCCATGCCCCATTCCAGCATCCTGATCACACCATATGCCATACCAGTGTCCTGATCACCGCCATACACCATATAAGAGTCCTAATCACTGCCATACTCCATAAAAGAGTCCTGATCACCGCCATACTCCAAACCAGTAGTCTGATCACTGCCATACTCCAAACCAGTGGTCTGATCACCCCCATATTCCATACCAGCATTCTGATCACCACCATACCAGCGGTCTGATTATCGCCATACCCCATACCAGCAACCTGATCACCACCATACTCCATATCAGCATTCTGATCACCGCCATACCCCTTAGCAGCATCCTGATCACTGCCATACCCCATATCAGCATCTGGCATTTTAGGGTCTCAACTGATCAATTTTCAAACATACTATATATCCCATAACTTGTAGACTTTATAACTTTTACACAGACTAAATAATATACACTGTTTTGAGTTATTTTTACCACCACAAATTTAACAGAATACATTTTGACCTAAATTTGTGAAGAACATTCATTTGCATAATTTTATAACAAAAACTAAGCAGAAAATTATTTTTATTCTTGACGTTTTTTCATTTATATAGCAAAACTTAAAGAACCCAGTGGTGATCAAATACCACCAAAAGAAAGCTCTATCTGTCTCAAAAAAATGATAAATATTTCATATGAATACAGTATTGCATGACTGAGTAATTGTCACTCAAAGTGTGTTAGTGCAGAAAGCTTAAAATTGACGTGGACTGGAAGGGGGTGAAAGTGTCCGGACCTGAAGTGGTTAAACCTTTGCAATGGCTAGTAAGTTCACTTCAGGATCCATGCACAGGGGGCGTTCTAATAACGCTGGTAACGTTAGCTGTGTAAAGTCACTTTAAAAATGGAAGTTTTTCAGCTTTTTGCATTAGCGTTTAGTGGCGTTTTGCTGCCATTTTTCGTGTTTGTGTTTTTTAGCATTTTTTTTACAAAAATATGGGGTTTTTTTGCTCAAAAAATGTCCAAAAATGCAGTTTTTCAGCGTGAGTCCTTTGATGTTTTTACAGCGGCGGCTGTTTTTGGCTTTTGACATTTTTTTCTACATCCAGTAAACCCCCCAGCATGTTATCCTATGTGTCCATGCACACATAGACTGTAATCAACGTTTTTTGGCTGGAAAAAACCCCCGGAACTAGTGGGTTTCTAGAGGAGTTTTTTTACCTGTAAAAATGCTCTAATGTTGAAAACTGCTAAAAAACGCAAACATGTGAAAACGCAAAACTCTGCTAAATGCTAATGCAAAAACACTAAAAAAAGCTGAAAAACGTACGTTTTTGTGACTTTACACAGCTAACGTTACCAGCCTTATCAAAACGTCCGCATGAGGGCTTAGAGCGATTTTACAGCTAAAAAAAACTCCTCTAGAAATCTCTAGTTCTGCGTTTTTTTCCAGCCAAAAAATGCTGATTACAGTCTTTGTGTGCATGAACACATAGGATAACATGCTGGGAAGTTTATTGGCTGTAGAAAAAAACGCCAAAAGCCAAAAACAGCCGCTGTAAAAATATCCCGTGTGCATGAGGACTCAGGCTACATTTGCAGGGCCTTTTGGCACACAAAGTACATCCAACAGGGATGTGCGAACAGCCAGGAATATCTGCAGCCCCAGCCAACCTGCCATTTCAGTGTACCAGCTCAGAAGCCGCAACTAGCCGCATGCAGGAGTCAAAAACAGCAACAGGAATTTGTAGATTCTTGCGGGTGGCTTATACACAGTGACAAAATGCCTGTGTGAATGATGCCTAACTGAACAGTTTACCTGGAAAGAGTGATTGTTGTAGAACCTGTCCTCTAAAGATGAGCCCCATTCTGCTGGATCAAAGCCCGTCCCTGCAAAGAAGAGGATTCAGACAAATCAGTTAAAATGACCCTGTCACCACATGCTTGATACTATAATAAAGCCAAAAATGTAAAAGAAGATGCTATATACTTAGCTTTCCTGTGAATATGCTGCTCCAGAGTCCCTTCAGTTAATACTAGAATAAGTCTGGATTCAGACTGATGCGGTGCGGAATTTGCAGCGTTTTCTGTGCGATTTCCTCACTGCATCAGAATCGCACCCCATTCATGTTAACCACTGCGGGTGTGTATGTTCAGTTAACAACACCCCAAAATCGGTCCGCAAAATGTGGTGGGATGTGCAGAATCGGATTGCATAGTTGTGAATACCCATTCGATCTGATTCTAGTGCGGACCACAGAAAGGGTCCTGCACCTTTTTGGTGCAGATGCGGTTGTGATTTGAGCTATACAAAATGTATGGCTCCAATCGCACCGCACATAATTCACATGTGTGATATACCACACCGCACAAGTGTGAACCCAGGCTCAAGGCTGCATGTAAAAGAACAACGACCATGCATACCTTTATGATGGTTCATGTCTTCAATCTTTGCTACTTTGCTGATCTCCAACTGCTGTAGGAATACAACCCTTCCCAATGTGTGAAATCCCTGCCCCCACTGCATGCTGTGGTTTCTCCTACACCCTGTCATGACCTACACGCCTGCAGGAGGAACCACAACATGCAGCGGTGGAGCAGATATTCCACACTGCAGAAAATATAGTATACCTGCAGCATCCATGGAGTGTAAAGGCACGGGTAAGGTAAGCATATAGTATCTTTTACATGCTGGCTTTATTTTAGTATCAACTGAAGGGACCCAGGAGCAGCATGTTCTCCAGGAAAGTAAGTATTTCATCCCCTAATGTTACTCTTCAATTTCAGTAGCTTTATGCTACCATCTGAGTATAGGTCCTCTTTAATAACTAGTTCAAAGCTAAAACGATATTAAACCCAAAAATAAACATTTATTATATTGCAGCTTACCAATTCTTACATGTATTTGCTACATTAGTTTTCTTTTTAGGCTATTTCATCTGGTGATCCTGCCAGTAAGTCTGTGGTTTTCCAACAGAACAAGCTGTCCTGCAGATGTAGCAGTTAGATGGTTTAGACAAACCATTTAACCAGGGGCGGACTGACAATTCATGGGGTCCCCGGAAAATAGGGGATCATGGGGCCCCTGTGTCCTTGCCCACACTCAAACCACACCCAAAAAAGCCTATGAAAGGTACCAGGGGCAGCTCATGGGGCCCCCTACTGACCCCGGGCCCTTGGTGGCGCTGCCCCCCTGAAAGATGCCGCCCTAGGCAAATGCCTTGTTTGCCTTTTGGTATATGCGCTCCTGGCTGTGAATGTGTGTGTCTCTCTCTCTCTCTCTCTCTCTCTCTCTCTCTCGCCGAGGGGGGGGGGGATTAGTAGAGAAGGCTTTCTCAGGGGGAGTGGGCAGAGGTGTTGTTGGTCAATGTTAGGCTCTTTCCGTGGGGAACGCACGATTTTCATGTTGCCTAGGGCAGCACAAAACCTAAATACACCACTGGGGACACTGCTGTATCTTTTTCCAGAAACCTGAAAGAAAAAACAAAGAAAAGAAAGAGTGGAAAAAAGAAAAAAAAAAAGGAGGAGGGGAGGGTTGAAGGGGAGGATCGGGAAAGGTTAGGTGATGGCAAGGAGAGCATAAGGGGAAGGAGAAGAGCATGGTGTGTCTAATGTTTGGCTTTAATTTGTTAGTGTATCTAAATCTACTAGTCCATCTAATGCCCTCCTTCTCCCAGACTGACAATGCTGCTGCCCAAAGGTGGTCCCTGTGCTCCTTCATCCAGAGTGGGGGCCCTCTAATACTGGAGGTGTGTTACTGGCCAGATCAGCAAGGAAAAAACAGAGGGAGAAAAGCCTAAAAAAACAAATGCAGCCACCCCATCTAATACTTGGTAAGCTGCAATATATTACATTTTTGGGCTGACTACCACTTTAAGTCTGACGGTGATACAGGTGATCACTCACCTTCCCTGTTTTTCAGAAGATCTGAAAAGTAACTGGCAGCAAATAGCGGGATATCCTTCGGCTGCTCCCTTAAGACCTCTCTGGTCAGTCCTTCCAGGAGATTGGCGAATCCTCGAGGGATGCGATAATTTTGTGTTGGAAAAAGGAATGGCCATCTTCTGGGTGTTGTGGAGTATACTCCTGTAGACGTATACAAAACACAGAATACAATGGAAGGTACACTTTATTAAAGATGAAATTTAACCTGCTTATATTTTGCCTTTCCTGGCTCCTCCTCCATCCATCAACATGCTAATCATATGTATAGATACAAAAAAAATTTCAGTCCCAGTGATGGCATCACTGGGGCTCTGTGCTTCTCTATACAATGCAGGCAGATTATAGCTGGTGGAAGGGATAGGCAGGGTGCTGTACAAGCTTCTTGAAAACATCAGAGCACATGGCCTCATTCACCCAATCAAGACCTCTCAGTCCTTATGCAAGCAGTGGGCTGGCACTTGGGAGGGGTTATGCAAATGTCATGATGTAGGAGTGGGCATTAATAAGCAAACTGTATTTGCCTGCAGACCCCCATAGGTAACTTCCACATGGGATGTTGAACCTCCATGACTGAAAGTGAACTGAAATATTATTTATTTCAGGTACTTATATAGTGCGTTGTCAATTTACGCAGCATTTTACATATATATTGTACATTCACATCAGTCCCTAACCTTCAAGGGGTGTACAATCTAAGGTCCCTAACTCACATTCATACACATACTAAGGACAATTTTTAGACAGGAACCAATTATCCTACCAGCATGTCTTTGGGGTCTGGGAGGAAACCGGAGAAAACCCACACAGGCACAGGGAAAACATGCAAACTCCAGGCAGGTGATGCGGTGGTTGGGATTCAAACCAATGACCATAGTACTGCCAGGAGGAAGTGCTAACCATTTAGCCACTGTGCTGCTCATAAAAGGGGGGAGCTAGGAGCATTCCAGCTGAGGAGAAAAGTGCTAGATGATGCTGGACATCCGTCACCCAGGAAGGAACCAGCTTTGGTACGGGCGAGAACCTGTAGAACTCTCTACTGACTGAGATAAGACGGTTTACAATTTTACAAAGTGCAACATTAGGTCAACATCCAAACATGTGTACGTCTCAGGAAATCCAATCATTAGAGTCTTTAATCAGCTTTATTTATTTATTTTTATTTCTTAATTTAATTTAAAGTGTTACTAAACCCAGGACCCTGCATTCACTATATATGGTCTCCCCGGACCCTGCATTCACTATATATGGTCTCCCGGACCCTGCATTTATATATGGTCTCCCCGGACCCTGCATTCACCTATAATCTGGTCTCCCAGGACCCTGCAAATTCACTATATCCATGGTGCTCACAGCCCCGGACCTGCATTCACTAATAGTATCTGGTCGTCCCCGGGACCCTGCATTCACTATATCTGGTCTCCCCGGACCCTGCATTCACTATATCCTGGTCTCCCCCGTGGACCCTGGCATTCAACGTATATCTGGTCATCCCCGGAACCTGCATTCACTATATCTGGTCTCATCCAGGGACCCTGCATTCTCACTATATATGGTCTCCCCGGACCCTGCATTCAGATACTACTCATGGTCGTCCCAGGACCCTGCATTCACTATATCTGGTCTCCCAGCGACCTGCATTCACTATGTCTGGTCACCCGGACCCTGCATTCACGAATAGCTGGTCTCCCGAAACCTGCATTACCTATATTCTGTCTCACGGACCCTGCATTCACTATATCTGGTCTCCCTAGGACGCTTGTTGCATTCTCTATAGTATCTGGTCTCCCCTGGACCCTACATTCACTATATTGGTCTCCCAGGACCCGCATTCACTATAATATCTGGTCTCCCTGGTCTCCATGCCTGTCATTCACTATATCTTGGTCTCGCCCGGACCCTGCTATTCACTATATTCTGGTCTCCCAGGACCCTGCATTCACTTATATCTGGTCTCCCGGACCCTACATACACTAAAACCCTGCATTCCACTATATTGCTCCCCCGGGACCCGCATTTACGTATATCTGGTCTCCCGGACCCTGCATTCACTATATCTGATCTCCTAGGACCCTGCATTCACTATATCTGGTCTCCACGGACCCTGCATTCACTATATCTGGTCTCCCCGGACCCTGCATTTCACTATTATCTGGTCTCCCCTGTCCCTGCATTCATACTATATCTTGTCTCCCTGGACCCTGCTTTCACTATATCTTGTCATCCCCAGGACCTTGACATTCCATATATCCGGTCTCCCAGGACCCTGCATGCAGTATATAAGCGTCTTCCCAGGACCCTGATATTCACTATTTCCTGATCTCCCCAGATCCTGCATTCACTATATCTGGTCTCCCTGGACCCTGAATCTCACTATATCTGTCTCCCGGACCCTGGCTTTCTACTATATCTTTGTCTCCCTTTACCCTGCATTCACTATTTCTGGTCTCCCCAGGAATAATAAGTTAAGACATCCAGGAAGGAAAAGGAAGAGGAAGTTAATTCGTTAACGCTGTGTTTTTTACTATAGTTGTTTTAATACAACCTGCACTTATAATTGGTCTCCCAGGACCCATGCATTCACTATATCTGGTTCCAGGACCCCCCATTCACTATATCTGGTCTCCCAGGGCCCCGCATTCACTATA